CCCCCCCTTCAAAAATCTTGGATCCGCTACTGGAGTAATCTCGTATAGTAATGACTGAAAAATGAATAATTAGCGTGTACGAAGACTTTTATTATACAATTAAAGACATTGTAAATACTAATAATCGTTGATTAATTTTACATAATGTACCTAATAACCAAAAGATTTAAAAAAAAATTTTTCTTGTATTAAGATATATTATTTGGTTTGGTCTCAATAACTGTAGTAAATTTAACTGCTCTTTTTGGTGCTATTATATTACCATTTCGAAAAAAACCTGCATTTAAATGGATTCTTAGTACTTTTATTGGTTTAGGTAAGAAATAATATTTAGATAAGATAAATTTTCTATTACTAAAATAATAGCTGTTGGTACACTTCTTGGTACAGGAATATTTCATCTTATTCCAATGGTAAACATATTTTCATTTTTTTTATTATAGTAAAATAAAATTCTACTTTAAAAGGCATTTAGTGTTGAAGATTATGATAAAGAACTTACTTTTCTTACGAAAGGTCTTATTGCAATAATTATTATTTATTTATTTTATATGCGTGATCAATTATCAAAAGTTTTTTTCCATGTTGAAACAGTTAGAATTTTTATATTTGTTAGTTTTCATATTCATCTATTTATTTATCTTAGGCTGTTTCAACACATGAACATGGTGATGAAGATCTCTCAGTAAGTTATAATACAATTCGATTTAGAATTTTTTGCAAAATATGATTAAATCTATTTTTATTTTTTATTTTCAAGCCAATTCTTCATCAGAAAAATACCAAAAGTTTAAAAGAAAATTTACAAACAATGAAACCTATTGGATGGATGATTTTAGTTAGTGATTTACTTCATGGTTTTATTGATGGTTTAACAATTGGTGCAATAGCTATGGTATCAATAGGTGATTGTCTTCGAATGATGGTGCCTATTGTTTGTGAAGAATTTTCTCATAAACTTGGTAAGATTTTGAATTTATTTTTGATTATTTTTTTTTTCATATAAATTTATTTAGGTGATACTGCTATCTTATTAAGTAGTGGTCTACCAATAAAACAAGCTCTTCTAATGAATTTTTTATCAGCATGTGGTTGTTATCCTGGTTTTTTTCTTGGAGCTAAATTAGGTAAATTAAAATAAAAAATTATTTCCTTTTTTTTTGATTTTATTTAGGTCTACTTGAAAATTTTCATCCATGGGTTTGTGCATTAGCTGGTGGAATGTTTATTTATATTGGTCTAGCTGATATGGTATATTAATAAATATGTTTTTATTAATCTTATCTTTATTTTTAAATAGATTCCTGAATTGATTTCTATGGGTGATGAAATTGAAAAAGATTTTGTTATGGAGAATAAAACAGTTTCAAAAATGTTGAAAATTAAAATATTAATCACTCAAAATCTGGGTGTTATTGCTGGTATTGCGATTATGTTTCTTTTGGCAAAATATGGAGAAGTTTTATCAGAATACTTTTGATTTATCTTTTAAACAATAACAATTTGTTTTGAATAAGAACTATTTTATTTAGAATAGATTTTTTTTATTTAGTTAGAATTATATAGAAAGAATTTTTGTTTTTACAATAAACTTACATATAAGATATATTATATTCGATCAATATAATCAGGCGGAGATTTTTTAAGCAAGGATGATTGTCATATTATGAAAAGTGAATCCCGTTGTAAAAAAAAGTAGAATAATTGTGTTGTATTGAATGTGGAGGATACTGATTTGGAAGTGATGTATGTCGATCTAAATAAGATGAAAACTCAAATTTCTAGCCCCATCACTCAATATAAGCTCGGTGTTACAAATACATCTCATACCAGACAATTTTCTTCGAAGTCTTACAATATCATTGTTTTGAGTGTGAATCTTTTCTTTTCAAATCACACTCGCATTCATCTACCTATTTTTTATGAGAGCTTTTCTGAGAAAATAAAAATTCGATTAGTTTAGTCAATACAGCATCTATTTGTTAGACAAGTAACGATGAGCTACTAATACAACTAAATAAATATGAAAGTTATAGATCACTTCATAGTCAAAACGACTGATACACCCGACCCAATCTTGTGATCTCTGATGTCGTTGAATTGAACAGTCCACAACCGTAATAGTATTTATCACTTGCTTCAGTGCGAGTGGCGAACCAAGCATAGCGTTGCAATAGTGGCGCCCGCTCAGCCATCAGAGGAATTACGGACTCTGCGAATATTATATTCTCATCTTCTGACTGCCACATGCAGTCAAACTCGGTGAGCCAAATAGGTAGGCCCAAGAACGCCCAGCTATTTATAAATGCGAAGAAGGTGTCCACATCGCAGGCATTGTAATAGTGCAGAGCAATGATGTCGACTCGACAGTGCACACACTCCCTCATAAATTGTAAGAGCCAATTCTGTCCATCTGGAGAGGATGTTGGCGCAGGAGATGAAATCTTCATTCGAGGATCCACTCCTTGCTCGATCCGTGGCCAAAGCGAAACGGCGAGTGAGACAGGCATGTTGCCCTGTGATTCTAGATCTGGCTCGTTGAAGGTGAGCAGAACTGGTGCGCCAGAGCTATTGGCTAGCGGAAGCTGATCCATAAAATAATCACTCCAGATCATTGGAATAAACTGAGCTACTGGAGTGGGGGTGCAACGAGATGCTGGTAGCCAATTGTAGTACCAGGAAATATTGAGGCGGTCCATTTCGCTGCATTGGTCGTTTGGACTTGTCGATCCAACACCTTTTAGTGGATTTGACTGAACGCAGGAGAAAGACATGCAAAGTTGAAGAAGAAACAGTACGTGAACAATGTATTCAAACATTGGTGAAATGTGTTTGCTACGGCTTGCTGTTGTCTTTTTTGTTAAAACTGCTTTTGCGTCTATAGTTTTATAGGATAAAATATAAATGACAAAACCTGTTATCTCTCATGCAACCTTAAAAAAATAACTGAAATAGGCCTTTTTTGTAACTATATGAGATAAAAGAAAAAAGAATGTTTATCGATATTATTCGTTGCGTTTACATTTTAATTTTGGAAGACAGATGTTTAAGTTGAAAAATCTCTAAGGCAAAAAAAAATTGTCAACAGTATATAATCTGAAGCATCATTTGATTTTATCAGTTCTGTTTATTTGAAAATTTCTGTTGTAAAACCAATTACGCCAACCTTGTTATTTCTTGAAACTGTAGTTGTGTGGATGAATGTCAGGATTAACTTTATTTTGTTCTTCATCCACACGCTAATTTTTCGTCATTCTGAATTAATAAAAATCAACCAATGAGTCAAAATTTTTAAATTTTTCTAAATTGATTACACATTTCAAACATTTATTAGCAATATTAATTAATGCAATAATATGTTTTAAATATATCTAACGAGTCTCTTCTTTAGACTATACATTAACATATATATGTCGACATATATAAATAAAAATGATAGTTAAACCGCAAAAATCAATTATTTTTCGATTTCAATCAAAATTCTATCGTTATATCAATCTTTTCATATTAACGATCACAATGTATATTCTAGGAGATGGAAAGACATAATTTAGATATCTCAGGTTAATATAGAAACAGAAAAAATATATCATGATATATCTCATGCAATCTCGATTGCGCGTTTAATTAAATAATCTTACTACTAATAGTTACGCTGGGAAACAGTTTTAAAATTCTTAAAAAGGGTGTGGTGAGTGTTAGATGAAGATAATACTCGCATCCACCTAAAATCGATTTTAATCAGATTTTGATAGTTTTTTTATTACGTGGATGGTAATCACTTTCAAAATTGAATATAGTTTTTCAATTACTATTAACAGTAATGAAAAATCAGTGATTGTGACGCTGTCGCTTGCATGCGCTGTACGTATGCTATTTGTTCTTTCGATTATTTTCATCTATGAATTAACCTTTTTATGTTCTTACTTCGATGCATTTTAATGCACTTTGTCATAACCTTTCCTTTCATTCTATTCATGTAAAAAAACATTTCTGTTGATAAACAGAAAAAGCCTGATTTAGAATCGATTATAATCGAACGATTTTAACTATTTATTTGCATAGCATTAATCGCCGAAAAATCACCCCATAATCGATTATTTTTTATATTTTCGATTATCATCGTTCTTTACTGAATTTCGAATCGTTTACAGTCAGAAATAGTGAATCCTCGGTGGTTATTGATGAATAAATTAATGATTAAAATCGTATGATTATAACCGATTCTAGATCAGATTTTTATAATCTTTTTATTACATGGATATTTGAGGGTGTGAGTACGGGTATGAGTGTAGGTGTGAACCTTCTCATAACTCACACCCTTATTACATCCACACTCTCACGATGATATATAACATATTGATGATGCATATTTATTTAGATAATTCAAAAAAAAATAGTAGTCATATACTCATTATACGCAATATTAGTTTGTTTTTAGAAAATTAATTGAGATCAACCATCACTCCAAATAAGGACAATTAGAGCAATAGCCAGTGCGATTGAAACAATCACATGTACACTCAACAAGATAAATTTCATTTTATTTACAGTGTTATTATCCAATTCTTCACTCTCGACTATTGTGCCTTCATTTTGTTGTTGATCAGTTCCAGGAAGTCCAGAGGCTGTTTGACGTATTTTATATTGGTTTTTTGATGGTTGTCGTACTGGTTTCCATCCATGATGAAGCACTTCGAATATAACCATAATAATAACCACCCATGCTGTCCAAATTGATAGAATTGCAACAAACCCGTTGTGATTGTAAGGTAGTCCGTAGGTGACAACAAAGATAGTAGGAGTAGAAAGAATGAAAGCCGCTATACCGGTTATTCGATGCATCCAATTGTAAATAAAACGGAATTTACTTTCTGGATGACAACGAAATAGTGCCATCCAGACTTGAGTCATAGAAAAACAAACAATAAGAACTCCCATGATCGAATGAGCATAGAAAAGTCTACCAGCGGTATTAACATCTACCCATGTGCTTTTCGTTTGAACCAGAATTAGAAAAAAACCAAGCAATGTTGCCAATGCAGCTATTGAGAGTGCTAGACGATGTGCTTGAAACCATAACATTTCTCCGAGTATTTTTCGTCGAATTCCAATATGTAAGAATCGTCCGTAACGTGCAAAGAAGATGCCTGTTGGAGCAAAAAGCATCCAAGCTAACACCATAACAGTACCATGAGCATGTGCATAAGTATAATCAGGAGATTCATTTGTTGATGCCATATGTTACTTTTATGCCGACCAGTTACTAATGAAAACAAAAACAAATCCGTGTTATGGATTCACGTTGACGGTTTTTTATGATTCTAAGAGTGCAAACATTTTCTTTTTTTTTCATTCTCTTCAATCACAGCACTTTTTTCTCTGGTTATAATATTTAGACACTTTTCTTTTGTTTATTCTAAATATAAATCAGGTCTCTACCTCAAAAAAACAGAACGAAGAAAGAAATAATCGATGTACAGCTATCACGAACACCAATACAATGCATCTATATAATTAAAAAATGTAGGTTAAAAAAACGAATCACCATCTCGTCCTTCAACTAATAAGAAATTTTTCTTACCACCCAGACAGACAAGGAACGAAAAATACGACGTTTCTATGCGCAAAAATTTGTGCTTTTTAGGCTTGAAAAAAATCCTTTTTTTGTAAAAAATGTATAGTTACTAACAATAAAGAATGTCTTCATCATTTTGCTTTTTAAAAAAAAAACTTTATTCGTCGTGTAAAAAGCGCAAATTTTTACACGTAGAAACGTCGTAGTTTTCGTTCTTTCTCTGCCTGGGCAAGGTGGTGTCTTCATTCATATAGGTTTACCAAATATTCGACCGTGAAAAACATCTTTTCTGTTTTGTTATTAAAGAGAATAGAAGTTTCAACAGCACAGAAGAATGTAAATGACTGCTCATATTTTTGTAATCAGCATAGCTGGATGTAGTAAAACAATTTGTAATGGGTTAACAGTTGCTGTGAGACTTATTGTTTAGCAAGATGTATCGTAGAGAAGCAGACGTGATATAGATAGTGCACAAGAAAAGATAATACAAGAAAAAATCTTTAGTGTGCATAGTGCATAAGAACTGAATAGATCCATAGAATTGATATGTTTTTAATTGTTTATTGTATCAATAAAATTTTGCCGCTGGTCCATATATTTCATTTATTCATCTCATATTGTGTGTATCTATCCTCCAAATATTGCGTTTGTCTATTCCTTATATACAATATGTTATCCTTCATCTTGAGGGTGCGAGTGTGAGGTATGAACGTGGGTATGGGTGGATGTGAATATTGTATTAATCATACACCCTCACCCACACCCTCAAGCTATCTTGAGAAGATGTTGGTGAGGTTCTCTGCTTATCACACCTACATTCTATTCGAAATAATTTTTTGTCGTTTAATACTGTAAAATCGTATTCTCAATAATATATACTAAAATAACTATATTTTTCTGAATTAAATAGCGCAATATTACAAAAAAAAACAAGTCCAGAGAGTCGATTAGCCAATTAATAGATCGATGGAATACATTTTCGATTTGAAAAACCAATTCGATATCTCTGCTTGGCATTGGTTATAGTTGAATTTGTTTTTGGTTCTTCAGATGTATCAGAATTCCATTCATTATCTAAATTGCTATTTGAATCGTAAACTATAAAATTACTTTCGATATCTAATGGTAGGAAATTATCAGCTGTCAGACATTTCATTAGATAATCATTTTCAGTTAATGCTTTTTCTCTGCCAACATTAAATAATCTCAATATAACAAAATAATACCCTTCATTGTTTAATATTTTTCCAAATGATGCTAAATGAAGGTGTCGATTATGACAAAAAATTTTCAATTCATGTAATTGCCATAATGCTTTAATCAATACTTTATGATAAAATTCAAAATAATTTGACTTCTTATCCCAGAATAACATTTTATCAAGATCATTTTCCGGTACATCATTATTCAATGCTAATGATTTTATTTTCACTCTGATAATATCTAAACCTTTGAATTGAGTATCGATGAATGTTTGAATCTGTTCCATCATATCAGGATATCTTCCCATATGATCGAAAGACGCTACTAATCTTTTCGAACTTTTCCCACTAAACTGATTTACATCAATCGAATTGTATTCATTCATTTGACAAATTGTAGGACACGTTCGAATATTATCATTCTTAATAGTTATATGAATCTTAAATGTTCCATCGATTGTATTACTTGGTTTGAATTCAATTAGTGATGTTTTATAATGATCAATTTTTGTTTGAATATAATCAACAACAAAATCAATATTTCGATTATTTTTCACAAAGATATCTTTCATTTCAAACAAAATATAAGATGCTTGTCGAAAATCATAGATACATTTTGTACGAATTAATTCTTCAGCAATATTCAAATATCTAATACCATGAAATAAATATTTCAATATTCGATCTTCGTCAATAGTTGTCGTTTGAACAGCCTGACATAAAAATTGTTCAATACTTGGATTTATTTGAGTATCATATAATTTATTATTTTCATCATCATCATTCGAAATAATATATCTCAAACTGTCTTGATTTTCATAGAATGCAACTTGTTTCAATCGAAATGGATTGTAATATTTCGTTAAATAGATTTGTTTGTAATCAATTTGATTTCTTAAAATAAATTCATCAGGATAGAAAACACATTCCACAGCTAACATATAATTTTTTTCTAATAATAATTCAAAATTTCTACACGAATGAATGGTAATATCACAATTGTTCAGTCGATGTAATTTAAATTTATGAAAATAATCAAAATCTTTATGAAATACCAAACGTTTTCGTCGTTTTTTTCTCATGTCTTTCATAATAATTAGAAAATCACGATCAGATTTTTCATGATTAGTTCCATATACCCATGAACCATAATTATAAATATTTGTAATTCGATTATCATCTAATTTAAGTTCTTGAATTATCGATGAGATAAGTGAATTCATAGATCACTGCTATAAATAAGAAGATTTACAAGTAAAAATATACAATTGTTGATTTCTATTTAACCCAGTCAGACAAGCTTTGAAGAAACGACGTTTTTATGCGTAAAAAGCGCACATTTTTATACGTTAAAAAAAATTTTTTTTATGATAAAAATGAATTGCACAACGTAAATTTTTAACAACTTGATTTCGCTTCAAAAAGAAATACTTTTTTAGCGCGTAAAAATGTCGTTTTTTTCAACGCTCGTCTGATTGAGTTATACTTGGTAAATTTATCAAGATTGCATCAGCCATAATTGCACAAGTTACATCAGAACATGATGCTACATATACGTGGCAGTGACAGAACGAGAGATGAAATATCTTTTACGAAAGTAAGATAACAGGTATAGATATTATAATCAAAGAAATAAAATGAAATAAATAGAAGATATTGTATTAAAAATAAATATGAAGATAGTTTATCAATCAATGAAATGCGTAATTATTCGAAGAGTTGTTGTTCAAATTCTCTTCGTAATTGTTGATTGTATTTGAGTTGTAGACTTACGCGGTCAAGCTTTTGTTCAGCAAAGAGATTAGCCACACTATTATCACCTTGATTTTCATATTGAACACGATGACTTTCACAATATGCAATGTTCAGATCGTTTGCTCTCGCACAAACGACACGTGTCTGAGCCGATGCTCTACTTGTGATAGAATGACATTCGATAAGTTTAGGACCACAATTAGCTGCTAAATTGTTTCCATTACTATTAGCAAAGAATAGATAGAATAATTGAACACTAGGGTATCCAAGAACATTTTGTTGGACAAATGGTAATACTTGATGTGGATTCAATCGGGGCAATATTATTGCAATAATAAAAGACCGGTTCGGATAATTCAATCTTTCAGTGAAAGTGGTTTGATTATTTATAATGTTAGCAATACGAGTGAAAGGTTTTAAGTCGATAGGAGGATCAACAAGATATCCATCATGATCGAAAATTATTAGAGTTGGTTCATCTTCGAATAACTGAGGTGGATATGCCGAGCCTAATACCAATGCCTAAAATCAATAGTAGTATATGTCGTTATTACTGTGAATTTTCTTCAAAGTAAAACAAAACTGACCATATTTTCAAGATCCGGGTGTTAACTCTGTTATAATATTGAAAGACAAACGTAAATGGCAAATTTATCTAAAAAACAGAAATATAAATACTTGAGACAATGATAGAACTACGGCAAGGTTTTATTTAGCGCTATAAATTAAATTTGTCGTAGCATGAAGCACAAAGGAAAATGTTTTTATAAGTGATTAGTACAAAAGTTTGAATTAAGTTGCAGTTTTGCATCACTGAATGGTGTTAGGGTCAGTTTTTTTTAACAGTTCAGCATAATGTTTCAATATTTTTTTAGTATCATCTTCGAGTAACTGATAACATTGTGTCGATCGATCAAGTAGACGCATAATTTTATCTCGATTTTCGGACCCAACAGATATCTGCATAGCACTATCTCGATAGTATTCTCCCAATTTATGGTACAACTGACTCATCAGATTGTCGATCGAATTCACATAAGTTACATTTGAATAATTTGTCATCGAAGTTTTATCAGATTCTTCTGATCTTAGTAAACAGTAATAATTCAGTAACTGAGCAAGTGACAACACGTCGTTAGATGGTTCTGAAGAAGATACAACAATAATTCGAGTTGATATATCGATATTTTGTATAGCCGAAACGACTTGATTGTTCGAAGTGCATGTGATGAGTTGAGCGATATCTGATGCTAAATGAATGCATTCCATCTTCATTCCAATGATGAATATGATGGCTACTGAGTCACCATCTTCTTCGAGTATGTAGTTTTTTAGTTGTTGTTCGACATCGCTAGTTGAGTCTATTCGAGTAAGTAATTTATGGGCCGCATTCTTATGTGTTTCAATATTCTTCAGTTGATCCTTGAAATTATTTTCTGTCACTTGGTTTGCATATATCATCAGTTCTTTTGCCCAATCAAAGTAAGGTACGGCCAAGTTAGTGTTCGATAAGACATGACTTTTAAGATCTTTACCTTTTGCTAAATAATACTGACTTATGTCTTGCAGAAGACGAATTAGAAGATTTTTATGAAGATCAAACAGAAGAATGTCAATGCCATGAGCTCGATAGTAATCCGTCCAATCAACAATATTCGACATAAAATTGCCCAGAATATAGATTTTCCTAATAGAACTCCATGATTCTTGCCAACATGGAATTATTTTTAGTGCAGTAGATGTAGATATGATCAAGAAAATTGATTTCTTGTCTACATTTGCATCGATACAAAGCTGACATTGATCCAGATTATGAAAGATCCGAAGATCTTCAGATATATTTTGAAAACACTTTTTTATTTCTTGTTCTAATTGAACGGTATTGTGCGCATACGAATCGTTCACTTGAACCGAAATGAAGTCGGATGTATTAGTTTTATATCCACTTTCCATCACAGCTGCTTCGTTTGAATTATAGCTTTCATCCAACCAGATTATAAGATGGTCAGGGTCAGCAGTGGTTATTTCGGTCGACATCGTTTCTATTTGAAAATTATCCTTATAAAAACAAAGACAATCAGATGAACGATTCTTAGAGTGAGGATTTCTAGGAATTTTACATCCTTTGAAACCATTTTCATAACTTTACTTACTTCATCAGAAGTGTTTTCTTGTTGTTGCCTCACTCGTTTCTCGGCGATATCCAACATTTCATCGATTTCTTTGAGTATTTTGCTTGGTTTTAGCTTTTGATTTTCTGGTTCACTTAGACATATTAACTTATCATAACGGATGAAAAGACTTTTAGACCAGGATAGACGTTCGATGGCAGCTTTATCGTCATTTGCTTCAAGTCGTTCTTCTGCATGCTCAAAAAACTCGTCGGCCAGATCTCTTGTTAAACGTGCTAAAAGATCTGTCTCGATATCAAAGATTTGTATGTAGTTGCGATGTGAACGGGCCCATTGGACTGCTCGTGAGATATCGGCACAAAAAATATAAATTGAATTGTATGGCTCATTAGTTCTAGCATTAGTGAATGAGTGAGCATAGCGTTTGATCAATTGTTCAACAGCTGGTTCACCAAGTATGCTTGATGTGATGAATATAATGCGATGATTCTGTATTTCGTCAATGTAGTTCAGACAGGCTTCTACGTTCGTAAAAGTTCTGAGTGAAAAATGAAAACTGTCAAAGGTTGCGGAGAAGTCAGATTGATTGAGTATAAATTGGTCAATATCTTGATTAGTCGGAGAAACCTCTTGCCCGCTTTCTGGATCAACATGTGTGAAGAAGGCGCGTTTGAGCTGGACACAAAAATCAAGTTGCCCAATATGTGCATCAAGCCAAACGATGTTATATTTCTCAGGGAGATGGGGTAGTTTGGACATTTTAATCTAGAAGACATTATTTAATGTGGAAAGACTCCCTCAGGCTCCTATATTCGATCGAACTAAAGAAATTCTACAACTCTCACATCATTCTCCTACAATGATTCATGAATCTAATAGACTAGTCACCCAAAGCACTCCATCGATCTTTGCTTACCACCATCGTCATCGAAATATATTTTAATAAATGTCAATTTTGGTGTTATTTTATAACTGATATCGAATGGTGCTTAATATTGATTAGCAGAGCCGATTATGGTAACTAAATTTGTAAATTACCAATATCGATATTATTGCTTCAAGAAAAATCTAACATGTCGCTCAAATTTACATACACTCATCATACGGCGTTTTGTTTCTTTTTATTCGGCGAAATATGTTATCGTCGTTACTGATTACATTTTTATTGTAATACGACCTGCCTATAAACTTGTGAGAAGAGAAAAAATATATCTACCACGTGGCGTGTTCTTTAAGAGAAAAAGTAAATTTTTCAATAGCAATCTTTACAGAGAGGTGAATATCGCGCAACATGTGATTATTTCTCATTCACTATCTAAATGACGTTTTATTATTGCATTTTTTTCTTTCTTAACGTCTATATGTCTCACATAAAAACGCTGTAGAGAAGATCGATTACAGAAAGAAGTGTAGGTGTGGATATGAATTTCTTTAGTCTATTCATTCCAGAGGCACTCATACCCACACTCAATATATGGTCAAATATAGATACGACATAGGAATATCATTGCAATGAGATATATATCATATTAATATAAAACTTTTATCCGATATCTTTATTCAACAATAATCATACCTACATTTTATGACATATTATCTATATTGTTTCAAGAACACGTTTCTAGCTAATGATCATTTTCTTTTCTATTGTACGAGTGGGTAACGAGTAAAATCAATTCGTTTACCAACGATGCATTGCAGGGTATGGGTTTCAAGGCGGGAAGAAGTGGATACCGACACCTACATCCACCCACACTCTCATCGTTCCAACAAGACACGGTAACGTTATCTTTCTTTGTTTTACATGTGATGGAGAATGCTTACATTTTTTTCTTCATTGAGTTAGTCATAAACGACGTCGCTTCGTCGTCTTCATAATGATGTCATTTACAAATATATGATTCAGATGATGTTTTTGTAGACAACAAAAAAAGAATTCTTGAAGAAAGAGAAATGAATTACTTACACTGTTGTTATATTTGCCTTTAGCATTATCCCCTTTGTTATATTATACTAAGAGTACAATTGAATATCATCGAAACAACATTATTTCATGAATATCTTCAGCAGCGCAATTCCCGAATCGGCGACAAGTTTGACAACTTCTGCAGGTTTGTGTTTTTGCGAATTAATCCAGATCGATATGGATTTATTTTTAAAGTTGTATTGTAGAAATATACACAATTGTCGTACGCTACTGTGTTGTCTCTAAATAGATGAGAATGATTGTGGGTTTAAAATGAGAGAAGAGGTGAATATCGACATCCACACCCTCAAGACGATGATGCCAGCTTGATTATGCTTTACTTTTCAATCCTACGAGGAATGTGCGAGCAGCTTTTTGACAAGTATCCAGGAAATAATCATTTAACTTTTTATATATGAATGGAAAGACGTGTCAAAATAATGTTGAACCTAGGTGGGCAAAAGACTAATATCTTTTTGTCAACATACAAACTGTAGATAGATGAGAATACAGACAGCAAAAACGTGAGTCTATCACCGTCAGTTCAAAAACATATTCATTCAGAAATGGTTGAAATTCTATATCATTTTGAGACTCCATTGCAACTATCTTCAGAGTCACTCTACGTTTATAACATGTTCGTATGGAGAAGGTAACTGACCGTTAGATTTGTTTTCTTTTCTCTTCAATAGACAAAAGACCTAGTTATTTTGCATCTTAGAGCTGTAATAGACGTCATAATACACGAAAACGCAAAGAAGACATGAGTTTCTACTTATCAAAATATAGAATACGATGTGGCAAATGACTAAGTTCGGTGGTGATTTTTCTAGTGTGTCTTCACTATATCTAGAAAAAGTAGTTTTAATAATTAAAAGCAATGCAATTTTATTATAGAACACAAAGAGAGCAAGATGTTGCTACAACCACATAATAATCTCAAATCCCACAATGAAATTCACAACATCTTCAAGGGACCAGCCTATCTATTACCGTTGAAAGTACCATTCTTTCTCATCTGTATTATCTTTTGTTCTATCGATCGGATTGCAAGATTCACAATCAAACTCTTAATTACATTCTCGATTTCTGCAGTCACACACATTTCGTATTATCTCGTATTAGTGTATGTTGAATTTCCCATATGGGTTCAACATTTGGGCGCACAGTTCTATACGAATGTATTCCAACCTATCGCATTCTTTACACATACTTACATTCTTCCAGTCGTGCATTATGTCAGTAAATGGTTCATCAGTACGGTAGTGTGGTTCCGTGTTCGGTGCTATCAACAGATAATTTTACCAACAGTTTCTATATGCTACTTACACGTAATTACGCCAACACTCTCTCTCATCAATATTATCCTTTCTCTTACCTATAACATTCTGAAATTCATCGTCACACAATTCATCAAGTTGTTCGCTATGGCAGTCGTATACACAGCACATTTAGTGCACGGCCTCGCCTTTTATCTTGCATTGGTTGGCAAGAAATTATTTGCATACGTTCAACATTTGGGGGCACGATTCTATAAGAACATACTCCAGCCCATCGCATTCTTCATGCGCAACTCCATTCTTTCAATCATGCATTATATCAGTAAATGGCTCACCGATACGGCAGCGTGGTTCCGTGTTCGGTGCTATCAACAGATAATTTTACCAACAGTTTCTATATGCTACTTACACGTAATTACACCAACACTCTCTCTTATCTATAACATTCCGAAATTCATCGTCACACAATTCATCAAGTTGTTCGCTATGGCAGTCGTATACACAGCACATTTAGTGCACGGCCTCGCCTTTTATCTTGCATTGGTTGGCAAGAAATTATTTACATACGTTCGACATTTGGGGGCACGATTCTATAAGAACATACTCCAGCCCATCACATTATTCATGCGCAACTCTATTCTTTCAATCGCGCATTATATGGATAAATGGATCAACGAGCTTTATATCGTACTCCGCTGCACTCTCATATTACTACTTCATAGATTTCGATTAGCATTTATATGGATATGGCAAAGCATTCTATATCCATTATCTACATTCATTTTGACTGGCGTAATGTTACCATTCTACAAGTGTATTGTCAAGATCGGCTTCTTCGTTTATGCTGAGCTTCTAATACCATTATACAGATGGGTAAAAAGCATTATGAAAACAATTGATAGTTGTTTACGACAACTTGTTCGCCATGTTCGTACCTGCGTGGTATGCGCAATAGATTCCTTTGGTGATGCTTGTGCATTCTATGCAGCATATACTGTATTGCCTTTCTGTCGAGCGATTCCTAAGATTTGTTCATATCTCTATCGCGAAGTTTTCAAACCAGTTGGCGGATTGGCTTTATACACCGCACGAATGCTTTGCGATAAACTATATCAGTTCATTTTTTATCCACTTGGCTATGCACTTTACTCAATGGGACAGTTTTTCTATGACTGTCTTTTACAATCGTTCAACAGTGTCGTATATACGATATTACCAATGATCCGTGAAGTTTTCATTGAGATCTTCATCATGATACAATCTAGTCTCGACGCTGCCGCTCGCGCCATTGTAGCATCAGGTCAAGCTGTTGCCTTTATATTCTTTACTGATATACCTGTGAGTCCATATCGATGATGCAATCGTTGTGATCAGTAGATAAAATAAAATGATAAGAAAATGACTCCAGGAGTTGCAATATGTCTGAAACAATCTGATTTATAATTAATTGTATGAGTCTCTCAGTCAAATTATCACCATTCGAGTAGAAATAGATAGTTCAGTTTAAAAAAATACTTGTCCATTAGAGGATGTGGGTGCAACGAAGAATGTTTATCACATCCACAACCTGATGAGAAAAAAATAAAACTTGCAAGATACACAGTAGAGAACAGGACTACCTAAAAGAACACCGTTCGACATCGTCGCTAATCGAGCATTTGTTATAAACGATGTTTCTGCATAAGTGAACATACCCATAAGCAGAATTGGAAGAACATAGTTGACAATGGACTCAAACCAATTCGGAATTATGTTGCGATATGGAGCCGTACCACAAAACACTAAGAGAGGATGATACACACATTTACAAGAACAGAGAACAATGAGATAAAAGTACCGGGTAGGGTGATCAAGGAAACACCGATCAATATTTGTAGCAAATTGAAAAATAGAAAAATAACGGTTGCACTATTCTGAAGGCTTTTTCATGAATTCTTATCACAAAGGCATACTAAGAAACAGATAATAATTTGCCGATTAATACGATGCCAAAGAATTTCTTCTCGAGTTAGCATAGGAGTCGGGTGTGGGTGAGGATGAGAGCATGCGTGTTTGTGCCTACCATCGCTCAACCCACACCCGTGCCCTTAAGATTATGTAAGAGCAGCATGCCTATTGGCTCACTTACTTTGATTAGAAAAAAACAAATATACAATTACTAAAAATTAATCATCAATCTTCTCACCAGACTGATGGCAAGCATTTAAATTTCCACCTATATTATGTGAAAATGATGAATTTAATAGAATCACAGGATTCTTCAGTTATTTTCAGTGTTTTGATACCTGTGATTATAACAATAGCATGCAAATAAATGCTTGAATACCACGTTATCTTCATCTTTTTCTGTAACTAACAATCAAGTTAATACTAGAGGGTGTGAGTGCTGGGTAGAAAGAAAAAACACTCACATTGCACCCACACGCCCAGCTTATCAAAGTCCACATAGTCGAAGAGAAATCTTTTCACGGTACAACCTACACCGTAATAAGCATAAATGTCATTCTCAGAACAGGGAACATAATATACATGACAGACTTATTTCAGATATTGCTTTCTTTGTAAACAGAAGTTCAAAAGACAACGAATCCATCAGATTCCTTTTTTGTCAAAAAAACAGTTTCTAGCAGAGATGTTTTCTGTTATGAGACACATAAAGAAAACAAAAGTAAATTCATCATATCATTTTTTCATCAGAAGAAAATGTGTTGCAGACAGTGACGTAGCCAGGGGGAGGCAAATGGACAATTGCCCATCTCATTTGGAGATTTACCCATTGAAGTTTTACTTTTTCAAAATTGTTTATCTATTTTTGAATTAAATTGTGACTGTATATTTTCTTTAGCTTGAAGCTCACATACACTCTTCGCTTGTTCTTTCTGTGAAGAATAAGGAAAAAAAGAAAAAAGTCGCTGCTTTATTTTAATTGTATGTTTGGGAGAACATATAATAATTTACTTGAAATGAGTGACGACTGGAGAAAAAAAATGATAAAACGAATTAAGTAAAGAGAGGAACAGTGTATTATATACAAATGTTTGTTAAAGATTAATTTTCTTCGCAACATTGCCTGTATCAGCAGCTTCTACTGAGAGAAGCTCCAGTCAATTATCGAGAATTAAAAGTTATTGTCTGCCTACAATGAAACAAAGCAGGCTAAAAGGGCTTGTTGTTTCTTACATTCTTAAAAATCTCGATGTAAATGCAGATAAACTATTGAAATTATATTCACAAATGAATTCTCGTCGTTCTGATTTTGGTATTTGAATCTGAAACATAAATGCTAGAAATAGAGACACTAAAATAGACTAAAAATTCACCTAACTCATTTTTAAGATCTGAGTTTAATGCATGTTGATTGAAAGAATATCATTTCATTGTTTTTGTATTTTTTCGACGCCAGAGAAGTTTGCCTAATAATCTAAAAATCCCGGCTACGTCACTGTTTGCAGAAATGTTTTTTTCCCACAAAAAATGTGAATTGAACTGAACGAAATTGTTTATCCACTTCATTCTTCATCAATGAAAATGAAAAACACGTCGAGAGAAGTTCATTACATTACATTTTTAATCGGAAATAGAATATCTAATAGACGTAGTTTTTTCCAGGAAAAACCTATGTCTACTGAACCGGAAGAAGTTGTCCATCGATTTCATTATTCATCCACGGAAATGAAAAAAACGTCGAAAGAAATTCA